AGACAGCCATACCCCCCCCCCTCCCTGTAATAAATTCCCAGTCAACTGAACTTTAAGATAATTATGGCGGACTGAACTGATAATAATAATCCAACCAAAGATATTTGTTATGATCTCACATATTTGGTTCATATCCTCAGCTATTTCTTCGAGTCACTGCGTTCAATATAACACACACACACACACACACACACACACACACACGGATACGCACATAGACGGATACGCACACACACACACACAGATACAAACACAAACAAAAGATTTAACCACAGACACACACCAAAACTATTATATATACTAAAAATGTAAATAACACTAATACTAATAATTAAAGAGCTCAGAGCCGAGAACACAAAGAACAACAACAATCAAAACAGCTTAAGTGACGCCGTGTTTCCCATACCACCATCATCATCACCATCACCACCACCATCACCACCACCATCACCACCACCATCACCATCATCACCACCACCATCACCATCCAAACTTTCCTCTTCCACACTGCTGCTCTCTGGTGTGTTGGTTACCGGGGGTCACTTGTCTGGCTCTCCTCCGAAGTGCCCTGATGTTTCGAGTAATATTATGCCACCTTGACCTTTGACATACCGACCTTTTATTCAACAAGTACCATCCTTGAGAGTTGTGTGTGTGTGTGTGTGTGTGACTCGAAGCAGCAGGGGGCTTAACATGCAAATACTTTAAGAAATCGTGTTTACATTTCTGTGAGTCTGTTGCTAATGAACAGAAAAAAAAAACGAACCGACAAACGAACGGACATTATCACCATCTTATCTGGACTCACTGACCAGGTGTATTAAGATAAATGACCTAATACCACGATGATCCTTCCATATTGTGGTGTGTGAACTGCTCCACCACTCAAGTATCCCCTACCATACACATTCATTCAATAGTAACACAAAGTCCACTAGTGTTCCATCACTCAAAAATAAACTCAAATTTTAGCTACACACAAACACACATACTGTACATACATACATACATACATACATACATACATACATACATACATTTAACATTTAATTACCCCCAACTGACACACTAATTTGGGCAGACTAATGTTGACAAGACAATAATAATTTCTAAAGTAATGGAGGTGAAGGAGTGTGGTGAGGAACAGTTTCTGGTACAGCAGCGTCTGTGATGCAACTGAACCAGTCTTGTGCTGGGAGAGCCCTGAAGTAGTGCCGGCGAGGCATGTCATATACTTAAGAGTTCTCTTACATCTAGTTCATGGGGTTAGTGTATCATAATATAGTCTCGAGTATCACGGCCTTATTAAGATCTGTGTATTGTTAAACTCTGTGAATTACTGTACACTTCAAGGTCACGGGGTGTAAATAAAACAAACTCCTAATATGCTAAACTAATAATGTCTTCAGCCGAGGAAGGAAATGCGTGGTCAGCATAAAGAGCAGGGAACAAAACCAAGAATGTGAAGGTCGGGGAGATAAGAGGGAGCAATGGCAGTGAAACGACTGGGGGAAACGAATCACAACTTCTCCATCTTCCTAGGAAACAGTATTAAAGAGATGTACAGTAATAATAGTGTCAGTGTGTGTGTGTGTGTGTGTGTGTGTGTGTGTGTGTTAGGTGTTGTGAGTGCTTGACTGTTTGCCAGGAGAGGTGTTGAGAGAGCCAAGGTTAACCTGGTGGTAACTATTAATAAACTCCTCCACGCAAGAGACTGAACAACACGACAAATTTCTTGATCCAAAATACAACAACTTCATATGTCATTAAGCCACGGGAAGTTACCACACATTTTTCTCTAGGAGTCTTCAAACCAAATGAGTATCTTGCAAAAATAATTGAATATCGTTATCATCTTTGGCTACTGCACTGCATGTCGTAAGCCAGGGGGCCTCCTGACCAACACGTTCACCTACACGTCCACCACACGCCACACCCCCACCTCTCTCTTTCTCTCTCCCTCACACAGTTACCCACTTGCAGCCTATCATTACAGAACAACCCAGTGAATTAAACTTTTCCCCATGCAAAGATAAACTGACCACAATAATAACTGACACAAGGAACACTACTACTACTACTAAATTTGCACAAGTTAGTAAATGCCAGGGCCTAAGATGCAGCGGTACACTGTCACTAACATCAGGTACTGTCACTACTTCCTGGCATCAGAGACGGTACTTTCCTGGAATTATGGCGGAGGATAAGGGCAGGAAGCATAACAGGAGAGGTTTGTCAGATTTGCCATGGGCGCAGAGAAACTGGGATGTTGGGTTAGTAATGAAGGCGAGTCTTGTGTGAAGGGGGAAGGTGAAAGGACGATTGGGCTGAGATTGTTCTTATAAGGGAGGGAGGGAGGGAGGGAGGGACAGGCAACTCACCACCACAAACAAAATTAACAACATGTGCACAACTTTCATTCTGGCTGAAGCAACACACAAACATCTGGGCATAAACTTACAGTAAAAAAATTACTCACATACTGCAAAAACTAAAAATTCAGACATTCCGCACAAATTAGATCAACAAACATACGAGGAACTGAACTTAGTCTCCTTCATCTATTACAAAAACTCTCTACTTTACATAATCGTCGTCCGTGAGATAATTACAAAGCCAGTGTTGTCTTAACATTCATATTCACCACACCGTGAACGTGATTCCCTTACCAGTAACACCAACCATGAATGTTCGTTAGTCTGTGTTTTGGTTCGTTTATGATTTAGGAATTTATTGTCCTAACACTGTAATGGAATCGTTATAAATTATATATTTTGGTGAAAGTAATGATAATGATGCCGTGATGACTGGCAGCCTGGAGGAGGGGGACGTCCTTGATGGTGTGTGTGGGGGTGGGTGTGTGTGTGTGTGTGTGTGTGTGTGTGTGTGTGTGTATGTGTGTGTGCCCCCGGAGTCTCAAAGGCTATTGGGTTGAAGTTCTTCTTCAGCTGGTTATCCAGAAACAAGTTGGTAATGATACCGTCGAAGCTGAAGAGATTCTGAAGTACTTATGTGTTAATGCGTCCTTTAAACTCCAGCTGCAGAAAAACGGATGCAGTACTCTACGAATTTTTGAGAAGCCAACCACTAGCCAGACTGAACTACTGTACAGGCGGAGTCCACCACTGATTACAGCCACAGTCGGGTCACACATTCAACAACCTTCTCTCTTAAGTCCACAGTGGCTGCATACTGTACTTTGATCAATTATACTTCCTCTCAGTCACATTGTTATGGTGGGAAGAAGAGACAACACCCGACACATACTTAACAGTGGTGTAGTAGCCCTCTTACCTCCCCCCCCCACCCTCACACATTAGCCTTCTCGGTCTTACGTTTGCCAGACCTCACAGTCATTCCCTCACATTCCTTCCCTTTCACTCTCTCCCACTCCACTCTCAAAACATACTATCCTGCTCTACTTTACCCTCCCATACACTACCCTGCCCTCCCCCCACCACCCTGCTCCCTCCTCTGCACTCCCCCACACCCCCCCACACGTCATCAGACAATCATTAACGTAGCACAAAACATATTTATGATCCTCCCTCAAGTTTAGCTTCTGGGCAGAATTATCACACTTGCCAAAACTTTCCATGTCCAATAACTCGACCGGTACTTGGAGACCCCGAACTTGGGCAGAAGCGTGTGAGGTGTTGCTTCACAATTATTACGACTTCTACATCGCAACCGGCTAAGAGGCTTACAATATATTTGCTGACGTTTTAGATTTCATTCTCACCATCTGTTCATAACACAACCACCTGCTATGGTACCAGATGTGTTTTCTAAATACAATCTGTTTCAGAAGATTTGACAGGTACGCAAAGTGTAACTCAATCAAGGAAAAAAACAATGTTATTTCAGGTAAGTTGGTCCAAAGTCTCAAACGCAACTATTGTAACTAAACTATACTGAAAATAATAAGTATCCCAGACAACAAACTATTTACTGTCTTCTGTGTAGGCCGGGTGGGTCAAGTCTTATTCTATTGGGGAGAATTAACAAGAAGTTTAACCCAAGACATACGGTGATCTCGATCATGTGATGGTGAACGTAACGCCTCTATAATGATGTACTGTACTACTACCCAGTGTGTCTCTCTCTCTCGTTTTCTATTGGCGTTATCTTTTACATTCATTAAAATAAGTGGACACACACACACACACACAAATCACTTCTTGACCCACATATCTAAACACTATCCCACAGGACTCGCATCCTCCCAACCAAGTAACCCCATTCTTGGCTCTCTCCAACATCATCCCACAGGATTCTGCATCCTCCCAAACTAACCCGACTTTGGCTCTCATCACCATCCCTCACCCTCCCTCATCACCAGTCCCTCACCCTCTCTCTCTCCTTCATCACCATCCCCTCACACCCCCTCTCTCCCTCATCACCCCTCCCTTCATCACCATCCCCACCCCTCTCTCCCTTTCATCACCATCCCTCACCCTCTCTCTCTCCTTCATCACCTGCATCCTCCTCACCCCTCTCTCTCTCCTTCATCACCAATCAGCCCTCTCTCCTCTCATCACCATCCCTTGCACCCCTCTCTCCCTCATCACCATCCCTCACCCTCTCCCTTCTATCACCATCCTCACCCTTCCTCTCCCTTTCATCACCATCCTCTGTTCTGTTCCTCCCTTCATCACCATTCCTCACCCTCCCCTCATCACCATCCTCACCCTCCCTCCCTCTCTATCACCATCCTCACCCTGTCTTCCCCTTCATCACATCCTCACCCTCCCTCTATCACCATCCCCCACCCCTGTCTCTCTCCCTCTTCATCACCATCCTCACCCTCCCCCTTCATCACCATCCCTCACCCTCTTTCTCCCTTCATCCCATTCTTCCACACCCACACCCCCACCACGTACGCTCCCCCCAAAATATCATCTCCTCAACATTGACCTCCCGATATGACCCCTCCACCCACCTCCAGCCCAGCCCAAGTTAATCCCAACACTGAACATAAACAGGAGGGAAGTACTCACCAAGCCCTCCAGTATGGTGTCCTGGGAGACTCCAGCCATCTCCTTGGCGTCCTGCACCAGCTTGCAGATCCTCTCAAGACATTCCTTCAGACCCATCAACTGTAAGGTCAAGATAGATAGATATTTAGTCAGTACATTTATAAAACAACTATACATTTGGTTCGCTATGTATGTAAACAAGGAAGGTATACATTTCAGCGTGTATATAGAACAATGCAGATATACATTTCAGCATGCATACAGACAATGCAGGTATACATTTCAGCATGTATATAGACAATAGAGGTATACATTTCATTATGCATAGAAAACACGGGTTACATCACCACCTTCAACATCCGTCAAGATTCACAACAACACTACCTATTAATAGTATATCATTAAGGAAGGGGAAATATGACAAAAGTAAAAACAGAACAAAATAACACGTATTAGAAAAAAGGGAGGAGGGCGGGTGGGGGGGGAGGAGGGCGGGTGGGGGGGGGAGGGGTAAAAAGTGACCCACTGGTTGTACAAAAATAACACGAATTTCCAAGCAATTCTCCGTAAGCCTAAGGTGATCTCTGGCTGCACTTACCATTACTATAGCAAGGTTATCATCTAATAATCTCCAAATCTGCCTGCGTGTAAGTGTAAATGTAAATCTGCTGCGTGTATGTAAATCTGGCTGCGTGTAAATGTTAATCTGCCTGCGTGTATATGTAAATCTGCCTGTGTAAATGTAAATCTGCCTGCGTGTAAATGTAAATCTGCCTGCGTGTAAATGTAATCTGCCTGCGTGTAAATGTAAATCTGCCTGCGTGTAAATGTAAATCTGCCTGCGTGTAAATGTAAATCTGCCTGCGTGTAAATAATCTGCCTGCGTGTAAATGTTAATCTGCCTGCGTGTAAATGTTAATCTGCCTGCGTGTAAAAATCTGCCTGCGTGTAAATGTAAATCTGCCTGCGTGCCTGCGTGTAAATGTAAATCTGCCTGCGTGTAAATGTAAATCTGCCTGCGTGTAAATGTAAATCTGCCTGCGTGTAAATGTAAATCTGCCTGCGTGTAAATGTTAATCTGCCTGCGTGTAAATGTTAATCTGCCTGCGTGTAAATGTTAATCTGCCTGCGTGTAAATGTTAATCTGCCTGCGTGTAAATGTTAATCTGCCTGCGTGTAAATGTTAATCTGCCTGCGTGTAAATGTTAATCTGCCTGCGTGTAAATGTTAATCTGCCTGCGTGTAAATGTTAATCTGCTTGCGTGTAAATGTAAATGAAATCTTATCCGAAAATACACCATCCCCCCGTTTATTTTGCCTGGAGATCTACCACCCTAAGCCAAGCCAAATCTAACCTACCCTAACCTAACCTAACCTACATAGCTTTAAGGGTGATTAATCTTCTGGTAATCTGGGAAATTGGACAATGAACACATCCCCCCCCCCCCCACACACACCACGAGAGGCCAGCGGGGGTGGGAGGGACGCCGCATTCCTCCACACCTGACTGACTGACTATTATAATACTTGTGAGGGTCTTTATGTTGTGGTTTCACGGGCGGTGGAGTCAAGTGCCGAGGGAGGTCTTTGGCACCACCTACTACAATCTTGAAGTCATTAGCTCGGGTGTGTATTTACGGGTAATTTAATGCAGCTACGAACGCAAGATATACACACCTACGAACGCAAGATATACACACCTACGAACGCAAGATATACACACCCACACGCTTCCCCTCTAGTTACCAGCCTTTGTCATTGCTTATTCTTTAAAACTCTACTGCAAAATGTTTCGTTGCTTCTTTTTTCTTCAATTTGAGTATTCATAAACTCTCGTTACATTTTCATAAATATTTGTATTAGTTTTTTTTTTTATCACTTCCCGCTTCGTTTAGGTTTTTTTTTTAAGTTATCTCTACGTGGATTGTTAGCGCTTCGTTGTCACTTTCCCATCTTCTAGTGTGACTAACTCCTCCTGTTTATCTATCTATTTTTTCTATTCATTCCAACCACCTTCCTCTTCCTGCAATATATGGCATAAATTCAACATTATGAAGGTGTTTGCCTGAGCTACCATCTTCAAACCCGCAGCGGATTAATAAAAGGAAAGTCGTCTATTGTCTCCCAGGGGAAACTCAAACGGTTAGGGTGGACAGGTAATTCAACATATAATTACCACAAAACATTTCTGTGAGCATATTTTGAAGATTCTTGTACACGTTAAGTCCTAAAGTAATTCTTGTATATAAGACCTGACCTCACCTGACTTTGACCTGACCTAACCGTTTATAACAGCAGAAACACTTCACTCGCGGAGGATGATAAAGGGAGAAACAGGTAAGACAGTGAAGAACTTGAGAGCCAGAGAAATAAACGCTGGGGCGGAGTAAAAACACTACAGGACCTGCACTAGCTAGCTCACCTTGGGCGCCCTGACTCTGGTTCACCTGGCAGTGTTGGTGGTGGTGGTGGCAGTGTTGGTGGTGGTGGTGGTGGTGGCAGTGGCGGCAGTGGTGGTGGTGGGTGGTGGTGGTGGCAGTGGTGGTGGTGGTGGTGGTGGCAGTGGTGGTGGCAGTGGTGTCAGTGTTAGCATAATAACTACAAGTGTCCTTATTTATTGCATCATTGTAAATGTTTTATCGTGTTATTGTATCAAGTAGTTGTACACACCAAGTTCAGCAGAGAGAGAGAGAGAGAGAGATATCAGATGAAGAAACACCCCCCCCAAGTGGGTTAAACCTGACTGAGGCACGACCCCACCAGAAGACCGTTATCCCAGCTAAATGTACGACACTAACGAAGAAGTAATATCTCACTTAAAGTTAACACTGAAGGAGGTGGGGGTGCCGACACTTAATACCTGGGCCAATATCTAGATCAATTTCTGTCACCCATCATCTTGTTGTCTCTCCCACACACACCCCAGGTTATATTTACATCAATTGGAATAATGGGTTAGTGCATTAATCTACAATCCATTAGTGGGTCTTGTGTGATAGTGGTAAGGGAAGGGGTGGGGGTTCTGGGTAAATTACACAAGGAGAGGGAGTTTGCCTTTTGGGGTCCGGATTGTTGGGGTTCTGAACTTAACAAGCATAAGCATAAAGGGTGAGGGTTGATGGAGAGTGTGGGCGGTGTTGCAAATACAAGGTGTAAGTATAACGAGTGAGAGTTGGTGGGGGGTGGGTGGAGGGTGGGGAGTGGTGGGGGTGGTGGAGGGTGTGGAAAATGGTGAGTGGAGGATGGCGGCGGTGGAGGAGGGCGGTGAGTGGAGGAGGGCGGTGAGTGGAGGAGGGCGGTGAGTGGTGGAGGGCAGCGAGTGGTGTTACAAGCCCAAGATGTAAATGTTATATTGTTTAATGCACGAGGTGTAGCCGTAGTGTAATAATAATAATAATAGTGTGTGTGTGTGTGTGTGTGTGTGTGAGGGGAGCAAAGGACGGGTTGTACTAGATGACCTTGAGAGCCTTCCGTTGGGTCACCCTGGCCTGCATACACACCACTCCGACCTGCAACACCACCACTCTGGCCTGCATACACACCACTCCGACCTGCAACACCACCACCCTGGCCTGCACACACACCATCACCAGTTGTTCTGCCGTCATGCACACCAACGACCCCCCGAGGCCTTGGATGTTTTCCTCTCATTTAACAGCACAATGAGCATGAATCCTGAGTGAGTGACTGCCTGCCTGGGCCCAGCGAGTGTTTTTCCCGCCTCACCCAGCCCGCCTCACCCACCCTCTACATTACTATGGTTAATTTATAGACATATTTATTTTGTTAGTCTCAGTCCTACTCTCAGCACCCCACAGCTCACCACGCCGTACTCTCAGAATAATACAATTTTGTCTCATCCATTTTGTACTTCATAGACTCGACTCTCAAACCCCTTTTTTGTTTTGGTTTACACTGGAATCTTTTACAAAATGTCAGGAAAACCAATACAGCATTATACACACAATTACCGACGGTTTATTGATATCTCTGGGGCAATGTTGTTTTGGTCATCTGACATGGCAACGAGAGGCTGTGGGTGCGTGGGTCTGACCAAGGACTTGTGTATACTAAGCACGTGCAGGAGAGGAGGACGAGCCTGGGTTAATGTTCGTATACTGATGTACCCTGAGTGAAGGACGAGCCTGGGTTAATGCCGGTACTGTATACTGACAGTGTACTCGAGAAGTATAGCAATAAATGTACATATTTATAGCGAGGTTAACACGTGTATACCTGAGGGATATAGTTTAGGTTAGGTTCACAGACGAGGTAGTCACAGGGTAGTCGTAGTAAGATGGTGTACACAAAAACGAGTTCTTCATGCTAGTGAAAACACACACACACACACACACACACACACAGTGATGATGAAGTTACAGGATTAAGTTGTGTCACACTATACTGGAGGTACTAAACGTTTTATAACACTTATAGTTTATCAAGCTACATCTTCCCTCTCTTCACCACATCATACACGTATTGTATATACCGATACTGTATACGATCATCACGTGGCCTTTACCATCACGACAAAATGGCTCCCGAGAGTGCATGCTCGCATTCCTCTACCACCCCCTAAAAAGATGTCCTGTCCACCTTCAGCCACTACACCAGGTTACACTCGAGGTCATCACTTGTGTGGTACACCTTGAGCAAATGTTCCACCAGACAGGAACTCTTGTGTATGTGTGTGTGTCCTCCGCACACTATAGCGGCGGCGGGACCAACTTCCCTCGCTGGACCCGTCAGCTGACATTTGAAGGCGGCGCAGTTATCCAGGTGTCTAAAACCCTGCCAGCCAGCCTCTTGCCCTTGTCCATTAATACCGTTACATGCTAGTAACTATTCCCGCTTACAACTTTAACATACCAGACATTCCAGCTTGTTGTTTACCGTTACAGGCTAATAACACTCCTAGTTTGTTACAGCTGTTAACGTCGTTGGTCGTAATAACTGTTGCTTCACTGCCTAAACAAATACGTATTACCACAACCGTAAACAGCAGGTATTTACAGTACCTGCTGTTATTGTACCAACAAAACCGTTTTATCGGAAATTATTATGTAAATAGATAAGAAATTACCATTGCAATAAATATACTGTATTGCCAACTAGAC